CTCTGTTTTATTCAATAAAGCACTAAATGTTTTTTTTTGTCTTCATAGCTGATTTAGGAAGTGCAGAATTAGTGTTTGCCTCCTTAGTGAATATAATTGGATGCTCTGTGTGTGCTTGTTTTTTTCACTGTGTTGTGTGCTGCTGTACCAATGGTCAAAGGTTATGACCCTGTTATCTGATCATACTGTAAAACTGTAATGTATAGAGTTATTACCATAAACAAATACATTCAGGTCACTGTGCACATAGATATACCTGCAAGCTAACATTCTATATGCCAAACAAGTTTTATTCCAGTAAATTTCATGTTTATCTTTAGCCTCATAAGCACTGTGGTATAACTATAAAGGTCAAGTTCTGCACTCATTTTAATATAGAAGAAGAAATTCCAAGACCTGCAATTATATCAAACATGTCATGCTTGCTAGCAGAGAAATGTGGGCTATAATGAGCTTAACATGCCCCAATTCTTCCTCATGATGTAATGCCATAGCAACAAAAAAATGTGTTGTAGGTTTGAATGGATCACTGAATATGCCAAATCTGAGAAAGAATGACTTTCCGTTATATTTGATTAAGTTGGTTTAGTCCTGGACAGTGGTAGACTTCAATAAATATTTCCATTTTCCTTTTTTTTTTTTTTTTTGCAAACTTTGAGAAATCTTGCTAATTAGCATTAGCAATAACACTGGCATGTAACTGACTTAACGGTCACAACTTGTCATGGTAATGACTTTTTGTTGTTGGTCCAGAGTAATTGCACAGACAGAAACTGCCAACAATCAGCTCTAAAAATGTGGGCACATTCAACCACACTGGCAACACTCACACACAAGAAAATATATCCTCACATTAAAAAATACCGCAACAAAAACGTGCCACACAATCTGGTCCTGATGGATTTGCAGTGTAGTATGTTTCAGAAACACAACTGTAACATGCATACATACAATATACATTCATAATGAAAGTAAAGTCAGCATTGAATTTTATTTATTTATTAGGTTAGCCAGGAGCTCTTTGGCTTATGTGTATTTAACTGTGCCGACAATGCTTTGATACAGTTTAAACCCACACCAATGTTAAAATAATTGTGCTTTGATATAAGTGTTTTAACCTCAGAACACTCTGTTGAAGTGCTTACGAGCAATGGGTCAAAATTGTTGTATCAAACTAACAAAAAAAAGCATTAAAAAAACATATGCAAAGGTTGTTTATGTCTTTCTGAGTGCGAGATGAAGTACCCCGTGATCAAGACATCTAACACATAGACACCACCCCTCCATTTCTCTCCCCTCATGTTACTGTTTAGTCATGTACATACAAGACCCTCTTTATGTTCTCTTCACCCTTCAACTCTAAAGAGCGCAGCCTTTCTTGCATAACACACAAATGCTTTTAACAACAATAAAACTGCTCCTTGTTCTGGCATTCCCCAGAGGAAGGACTTCAGCAGCAGGCCTGACATCCGCCGTATGGATGATTAGCATCATTAGAGCATCAGCTGCTCCCTCTCACTCAGACACACACACACACACACACACACACACAGACACTCCATGATGGCTCTTCAAATACCTAACACTCTAACACTAACAGATTAAATGGTGGCATGTTCTGGGCAAAGCGGTGATTAATTTATGATTAGAATGAATGCAACCCAAGGTCTATAGACACCAGAGACATCAAAGAGACAAAGAGCAGGGTTGGGAGAGTGAGAGGAATAAGGACAGACAGAAAGGGAAGAGCATTTATTCATTTTTAAAAGGAGGTTCAGTTGGAGATAGGACATCAATTCTGTCTCTGAATCCTCACTATTCCTCATCGAAGGCAGTTTGCCTGTATTGTTTGTTTGTCGTGTTTCATACTATATTTAAATTGTGTCTTTTCTTCTTTTCAGCACCTTTGACCGACAAGCCACCAAAGATCCTGTTTCCCTCTGAAAACAAGATTAGCAACATGGAGCTGCAGCTAGGTAAGAGCATCATGGGATTTCCTCCAGCAGCAGTCAGTACAATCTGTGTCATTTACAAATGACAGGAAATGGATGACTTTACAAATCCTCTCCAACAGACCTCCAGGCACTGAACACAGATTGATGATGGCACTTTTATTTGCTAGAGAAAACAGCAAGAAAGAAAAAAACAATTGTAAAAGTATTTTCCATATATGCAAATGGTGGGCGCTAATGTCCCTAAGGCTGTTTTGTCAACAATGAAGAGCCCATATGGTGCCAGGGTTCCATACGCTGGCTCGCCACATGGAAACGCGGCTGCTTTCAGTCGCCGTTGTTTGTCTTCTTTGACGTGGGGTCACGATGGGCCTATCATGTGTGCGTGCGTGCGTGAGTGAATATAGTGTGTGTGGTTGTTTGTTTTTTTGTTTTTTTCTGTGACAGCATATTGCTTGATTTCTGGGCACAGTCCGCTGTCCACATGGCGCTCGCTGCTCTACGAATGGCTTATGTGTCTGTCATGGTGAAGTCGATCGGACAAGACTGAGAGGTCTGGAAAGCAGAAAGGGATTGGATGAGTATGTGACAGAAAGAAAGGCATCTGGGGAGGGAGACAAAGAAGGCCCAATAACTCACTGGTTACCTTTTGTCTTCTATCTGATGCTGTTGGAATCTCAGGTAGTTCATTTAAAATGCCTCCACGGTTGGCTGATCAAGAGTGAAGAATTGCTGCTGTTGATAAACTGACAAGCATGGCCTCACATGTCAGCATTGTCTCACCCATGCATGAATGCAGCTATTTGTGTTGTGTGTCTCTATCTTGATACTGCTGGGATTTTTAGGAAAGGGTTGGGTTGTCCTCTATAACTTTGTAGCAGCTATTAGTTCCTTCTCACGTATGCTGTGTAAGTGTTTACATGTGTTGTGGAGTGTCTGTGTGTGTTTCAGTGCACAGTGATTTAGAGACTTGTGAGAGACGAAGAATGGTCTAAATGTGTGCACCCATTCAGTCAAGCTCCAAAAACTCAGTGGTGTTAAACCCTCCATGCCTGGTAAATACACCTCTTTTTAATGCAGTTTGTCGCTAGGCCCAAGATAACCCAGGTGACATCACTAAGGTTATTTTTGCAGACTTAACAAAACTTCCTCCAGAGCCATAGAAGACACTATAAAACTGGATAATTAGTACTCCCTATGACAAGTAAATTGAGCTTGATGTGTAAATCAGTGGAGTTCCCCTCTAATGGTATGGTGCACAAGGACATGGCAATACCATGGCAGAAAGAGAGTCATAAGGAAGGCAGATAAGGAGAGAAAGAAAAAGTGTCTGTTATGTCGTGCAGCGAGCCCCCACAGACTCCCAGCAGAGCATCTAAAGCAGAGAGACACCAAGGTAAATATTTTACAGCCGGGCTCCATTTTGTGTGCAGAAAAGGTGTCTCTCCCTCCAGACGAAAGTTTCTCTTTTATTTAGCTTTATTTATTTATTCTCCTCTTTCTTAATATTTGTTGAGTCATGCCCTAAGCAGCTTTATGAAGCAACGTGGCAGATTTACGGTAGCCAGAACGTGCAGAGAGAGGCCGGTCTCTTGTGGCAAGTAGGAGATAGAGAGAGGAGGAGAAAGAAAAAGATGGGATCCAGTGGAGGCTAGTGGATGGGCAGTAAAATCAGAGCCTTAAGCAGAGAGATAAATCTGCAACACTGCCGGGAAACACAGCCCCATTTTATCTCCTCTGCTGCCGCAACCAGTGCAGGTCTCAGACAGCCGCCATTGCATCCAGCTTTACACATACACACACGCAGACATAAATAAAACATGTGTTACATAAACTCTCGCAGAGGACGCGTAGCAGGGATGTAGTGGAAAGTCAAAGAGGATGATGCAGAGAGACGAACACAAAAGTCCACAAAAAGGAGTAAAAGAGGAAGCGAGAGTGTTCATAGAAGCAAAGAGGGTTGTCAGAGTAAAGAGAGGAACTGGGTACATTGAGAGAAAATGATGGCAGCGAAATGGACACGGGGTATGAGAGAGAGTTTGTTTGTCTCAGGAGAGGGGGGGTGGGGGGGGGTCTTGTCAGAGTGTCCCTTCCCCTGCTCTCCAAGGGTCTCCTTGCCTGTCTCTGCCACTGTGTCCCCTTTCTCCCGAACAGCCAAGATTCTGTCACTCAAAGACTACACACACTAAACCACAACACCACCAGCAGCGAGTGTGTGCTGCTATCATCACAGATCTACAAGGCTTCAGGGCTTCAGGAGTCCTCTGGGACGTGTGACTGTGCGAATACTGAAAGTCGGCCAGTTTCTCCGTCACAAATATTACTTTTCAGACATCTTGACATTTTCAATGTAGAGACAAAATCAAGGTTGTGTAGGATGGTTTGGATTTTTTTCAGTAGCCATCCAGTTTCTCTGTTGCCAGATTTTCTGCTGTCCCCCAGTGGTGAGTTGGTGCAGTCCACTTCCACCTCTCCAGAACAGGAGAATGATTCACATTGTGGGGTTTCACATTTGTGTGTGGGGTTTGTGAGACACAGCTACGCAAAAATACATACACAGTTGCAGTATGTGGCTTACCACACAAAGCTCCTAATTTAAAACAGACACACCCACCCACACACAGACTCTCTGACTTGGTGTTGATTCCCTTGGGATGATTTGTCATGGATTCACTGTCCCAGAGGAAGGGGTTGAGGAATTCACGCTCACGCTTACGCAGCACTCCACTTTGCGCATCTCTCTTTCTCACGTTGCTCTCCCTCTTCATCATGCACACACACATGCACAAATATTCACACATCCCCATGCACAAGTTAGGGTGGGTAGATCTCTCTCACACACACACTTGCAGCACAGTCCTCTGTAACTGAGGTATAATTGTAACTGATAGAGGATTTTACTGTCTCCCAAAGCCAGCAGATGGGTGCACTCTAGTGGAAAGGAATTAAAATCAATTATTTCAGAGAACAGTACCCAAACAGCACGGGATGGGGACAGGAGGGAGATGACTCCTATATCTACTTAACTTCAACATGTGTAGAGGCACACACATGAACAACAGCCATGCACACTCACAGACACACACATTCTCCACTGTCAGCCAACAGTTGTAGTAGACTTACACTCAAAGATCCTGACATTCGTGATTTTTAGTTTTAGCAATATGTTTTTGAAAAGCTCAGACAAACAGGGTCCCACTCTGATTCCACTCTCTCCTGCCCAATTACCTCCATCTTCTTTTACTCATAATTTGGAAACATCTGTCAGCTGGCCAAGACACCAAACTGTAAGATTAACAGGGTTTGTTTTTTTTCAGTAGAATCCCTCCAATCAGTGAATTAACTTGTAAGTGAAGTATATCTATGCAGGGCTTTCATGTGGAGTCAACTTTGACAAAAAAATAGCCAGAGTATATATTTTTTTGGCCTTTTTCATGACTTTAATTTGATAGGACAGCTGTAGAGAGACAGGAAAGCTGGGTAGAGAGAGGATGACACACAGCAAAGGGCCACAGGTCAGACTTGAACCCAGGCCGCTGCAGCAACTCCGTATATGAGTCGCCAGCTCTACCAACTGAGCTAACCGGGAGCTCCTGAAATGGCAGAGTATAATCTGCTCAAAGTAAAGGTACTATAGGGTTTTTATTCAGTCATCAGATGTCAGTGGTTTGCAAGCTAGCTAGCCTGCTAACAGGCAAGTAGCAAAGATAAGCTGGCAGGCTTTCATGGCCAGCCAATACTAGCATGTGACTGGCTGGCCAGCAGGTAAAGCAGTGAGGTGCACCAGAAGTACCCACAGGCTCCGCAGGCTATATCTTTGTTTTTTGTTTTTTGTTATCATACTCCCTCTATAAAAACCTGCTGTAGCTTTGACTTTTGTCATTTCAATTGGAAATATGCTCTTGCACACTCTATAAACCTACTGTACACATATAACACCTCAGTTTTCCCCATCCTGATTCTTCAGCCCTTATCCATGCTCTTGCTCTCACCCTTCCTTTTTTTCTGTGCCTTCATCCTTTCATCCCTTACCTCTTTTCTCCTCACTGCCTCACATACCTTGCTTGAACATTTGAGCAGCTGTCATCTGAAGTCTGTTGAAGTGGTTATCACTCCATCTTCTCTTCTCTTCCCTTCTCTTTAGGAAGTCCACAATACTGGAGACATGCTTGATCTTGAACACCTAGCTGTGACACTAGACATGTCACCTTTTCCATAGAGAAGGGTGAAATTGAAATTGGCATTGCTCTGGAGAGTTACTAAAGGTCAAAGCAGAGTCACTTCACTAAATTACTCTATCTCTCTCGTCCTCTCTGTCTCTCTGTATATTACATACACACACACACACACACACACACACACACACACACAAACACAATCTTTTAACCTCTGACAGTTCCTCTCACTCTCTTTTTTCAGTGAAAACGAGTCATACGCACATTATGGAGTATCCATGAAAAACACAGGTGCATGTAGTCTAACTGCTCCCTTCATGGTTTGAAATGGTCACATTATTCATTAAATGAGATGAAATCAGTAGAGGGTGTTGCATTTTAATTAAACAAGGACACATATATATGTTTAATGGAGGGGGGCAGAAGGGCCATGGAACAACTGGCAGTGTCTGTGTACACATGTTAATTTTTTGTGATAAATTACATTTTTCTTTCTTAGATAGGACAGCTGAAGATAGACATGAAAGTGGGTAGAGAGACAGGGGATCACTTGGGTTGAATTCAAACCCATGGCTGCTGCAGCTTTCCAGCTCTACCAGGTGAGCTACCGAGGCGCCGCCAATGAATTTAATTTACATTGAAAACCAGCCCTTAAAGGTCACGCAGCAGATACGGGAGGGAGAAAAAACGTTCGTCATTCAATTTGGTTTGAGTCCCACAGTGACCCAGCGTTAAGTAACCCATGGTGACTGTTATGGTAACTAGTGTGTCAGCGAAACAAAGCTGAATGTTTAAGTGTGTGAACGGTCATCATTAATCACTGAGTCTGGGGCTGAGAGCAGGAGCCTG